ATGTAGGGCAGATAGGTCCGGTGCCATATCTGTGTGGAAATTCTGTGATTCCTTGAGATGGGGAGGAGTCACAAGATGAAGCCAGGGCTATGTACTCTGGAGTTAGGGGCTTTGATTGCCTTTGGTGCTGCCAGGCCTGACACAGCAAAGGGTGTCAAAGGAAAGGAGGCTGGTTGGCAAGCTATGGTCTTCATTACAAAGGTCTGAGCTAAAATGGTCAGGATAAGTAGTCCATGTAAATGTCGGGTCTAATTGATCATTTTAGCTGGGCAGTTGCTGTATAACCATCACTGAGATACTTTAGCGATCCAGGGATATGCATTATCTTTATAGATCTCTGTATGGACAGGAACAATAGGGGTAGATTCTTGCCCTTTGTTGAACTCCGAGGTGTCATTTCCCACCCCACCCAACCCCCAGTGACAGTTTGGATAAAAATTAGCTGTCCCCCAAAGAAAAGAAAAATCAGCCTAGGTACTGAAATGGTTTAATGTCAAACCTGGTTAGAATTCCAGCACCACCACTTCAGCTATTTGACCTTGGGCAAATTACCCTAACCTCTCCTTGCCAGCAAAATAGGTCTAATGCAGCAAGGTCAGCAGTTCAAAACTACTAGCTGTTCCGCAGGAGAAAGATGAGCCTTTCTGCTCCCGTAAAGATTTATAGCCTCAGAAACCCTGAACAGCCTCGCTGTGAGTCGGAACCGACTCCACAGCACATAACCACCACCACCATTGTTACAGAAGGCTTAAGTCTCTCACACTACTACATATTTATTTGAAGCTTAGCTAAAAATGTCTCAGGAGATGAGCAACCCTCTGCTTTACTACTGTGTGTGTGCCATAATATGTGCAGACCATCTTCTGAATTCAGAAAGTCCTAAGATTTCTCACACTGTTAGGCTACATTCTCCTTGGGGACTGGAGTGTAATAAATAAGTTGAGCCTGGGCTTCTTAGTCCTATAGGCTAATCATTGGTGAGTGAGGCAGACTCTGGGAACTGCCCTGAGCAGGTGGCTCTAGCTGCCAAGATGCTGTCACCATTCCAAAATCTTGACTCTTCTATCCGTCCTAGCTTGGGCAGAGCTGGGGGCAACTAGAAAATGGAGGCCATCTTGGAAGTATGCCTTGACAGCTTAATCTCCAAGATTAAGATTGTCTCCAAGATTGTCCCTAATCAGGGAGAGATGTGTAGTCCCTTATAGAAGTTTTCAGGTTTGTTTAACTTGCATTTTAATCTTCTTAGGAAGGATTTGGCTGTGATCTACTTTGCAGATGTAGAAACTGAAGCTCTGAAACAGAACAATTTAGTTCAGCAAACATTTCATCTAGTGTCTATGTATACAGAGATGAGGAAGACCTTTGAAAGATTATTTTCTGCAAGGGGTCGGCACAGTGTCTGCAAAGCCAAACGTAGTAGCAGAGAGGTATGGTGAATGTGGGAGGGCAGGGGTGATAGTGATGTGATGGAACTGGGAACCCTGCCTGAGGGTGTTAGAAAATGCTTCTCAGAGGAAATACAAGTGTCAACTTCTTCATTAGTCACTCTAAGGTATAGAGCTAGTGGGTGACAGGGCCAGGTTTTGTCACTTAATGCACACTGCTGCATGAGTATTGGGAGAGAACAGGAAAACCCAGGCAACATGCAAGCAGGCTAACCAGCAGGAGGCATTTTCTCCTTTCACTTCCCTATGTAAACAACGAGATCAAACGGCACAGAGACTTTTTTTCATGCCAAGGCTAGGGCTGGACCCAAGGACATTAAATTTTTAAACTGGCCAACTGGCAGTTTCAGTTTCTCTGTGACAGGTCAGCCCCCTAGCAGTAGGCAGCCCTCCTCTGGTGTCTCCAGTATATTTTCTGCTGAAGTTCAGCTAGGAGAACTTCCCTTTGTCATAACTTTTAGCCTCCCAACTCCAAAGGATTCAAATACTCTGAAGAGGGATTAGTCACTAGGCTGTGCCAAGAAGTTCAAGAAGACCAGTGGTAATGAGCACTCCTGGCTGATCAGTGCCAATGTCGTTGATATGGGCCGGTGTGGTCCTATTGCCTAGCTCTTGCAAGGCCTAGAATCTGGAATGACTTCTTTTCAGGTCTAGAGCCCTTTAGGGAGTGGGGGCAGTTAAGCTTTGACTTATGTCTGGAGTTGCTCCAGAACTGCATCTCCAGAAGTGGTTCTTTGGAGGTGAGAAGTCAGGGCCCTAGTGCCTAGAGCCAAGTCAAACACATAATAACATCTGTTAAGAGTAGGGAAGATTGTCTGTAGCCAGGGCTATGGATTTAGGCCTGAAAAATATGCCATGGAATGCCTTTGGAGGGAGGTTGGGCATAGCTCTTTGGGGAAATCCTGTGTGTATATCTGAAACTGCCATATAGTGTGGACTCCCATTCTCCCCTGTGTGGAGTGACAAGAGCACAGAATAAGATCTGAGATCTTAGCTTTGGGAGTAGGTTCCAAGAGGCTTGTGCTACTGGCAGGTTCTTCAGATGGAGAAAGTCCTCATCATACCTTTGTTGGCAGGTGCCGATTCCAAGTCTTTGGCTTACCCCTTTGGCTTATGCCAGATTTGTTTAGTTAGTGGGCGTGATGTGCTAGGCCCTTGTCTTACCTACATTTCGAAACAGTTTATAGATAGGCCTGATACCCACCCCAGTCGTTATAAACTCTTGATTCTGCTGTCTGCTGTTAAAATCTTGTTTGTTGTTAAGTACCATCAAGTCAGCTCTGACCCACAGCAACCCTGCATAGGGTTTCCAAGGAGCGGCTGGTGAGTTCAAACCTCCAACCCTGTGGTTCTAACTGACCTTGCAATCCAGCGCATTAACTCCCAGCACCACACCAGGACTCTAATCTTTTAGTAGCTGGGAAAGAATATGCAAATAATGAAGCATAACACAGGCACTTAAGAACTACTTGCTATCCTTATGTATATGAGAAAAAAAAAAACCAAACAGGTTTAGGTTCAGCACCTTAACTAAGTAGGTGACAAAAGCTGAGGCTCCCAGCTAGTTCTCTTCAGCTCCCGGATCACTGTGTAGCATGTCTCACTTTGTGCTGAAGGATATTAATAGCTGTTATTTGAGAGAAGGTGCTTTGGTCAGTGCTTTAAAGTACTAATGGTTTTTGAAACGTTCTTATCAATATTTTCCAGATTGATGTGACTGGGAATTTGTAGTCTCCTGGACTGTTCATGAAAACTGATCTAGGAGCAGCATGGCAGGAAATACTTAAAAACAAGGTGTTCTTTGCCCCTACTCCAATAAAACCTTCTCTTTACTCTTTTTTTCAAACTTTTTTTGTGATTTGGTGAAAGTTCACAGAGCAAATTGGTTTTACATTCGATTCACACAATGGCATTTATTGAAATCCCTATAAGGAGCTCTGGTAGCATAGTGGTTACGAATCAAGCTGATAACCTCAAGATAAGCAGTTTGAAACTACCAGTGGTTCCTCGGGAGAAAGATGAGGCTTTCTGCTCCTGTAAAGATTACAGCCTCGGAAACTGCAGTGTCTCTATGAGTTGGAATCTACTCCACAGTACTTAACAACAATACTATAACAGCACTTTTCCCACTTTCTCCCTGTATTTATCATTTCCATTTGTCTTCCTTTCCTGTCTTTTCTACCTTCTGAACTTGATCCCTGGGCAAATGATTCCCTTTTTATCTTGAATTGGTTGGGTATTCTAAGGAGTTTGGACTTCCTTGATGCTGTTGTTCACTTTCTGTTAAGTGCCTTTGAGTCGGTTCTGACTCATAATGACCCTATGTACGGTTTCCAACCTTGCAACTCAAACCAACCTTGCGGTCCAGTACTTTATATTAAAGCTTCACACCAGGTTCACCTTATAGGCTAAAAGTTGACTCATGGGGTGATCTCATTTGTAAGTTTGAAGGGTATTTAAGGACCATAGTCTTAGGGGTTCAGCCATTCTATGAGACCAGTAAGCCTAGTTTTTGTTTTTGGTTTTTTTTTAGGATTTTGAGATTTGTTACACCTTTCTTCCACTCTATCCATGACCTCTATTTTCTCTTTCAGAGATGCCAGCATTGGTAATTAGGCACTATCTACTTCTGGTCCAAGAGTCATGATGGCTGGGTTTATCCTTTATACTTGGCATTCAGTTCTTAACCCAGCCTTGCCTTTTTGAGGAGTCTTTCTCAGGTCTGCAGTACTCTGAAATTTGAGAAAGGAGATGATTAGCAGCAAAGTGGAAAAGGCTTTGCAGTCCAGGGGCAGTTGGGAATCTTAAGCAAGTGACAAAGAAGGCACCCCCCCTACTTCCCCAGCAGACCTGTTGAGTGTTTATAGCTCTGTAAAACTGCCTCTCATCAGTGTAGGAACTTGGGAGGGAGATGGTGGTCACTTGGGTGCCATGTTCCCAGTGAGGAGTTTGCATCCAGACTTTCAAATCTGAAGGATTGTGAAGAGAATTGTCATCTACCCACACATTTGTTGATCTGTAAGCAGTTTCAAAAATCAAGTAACTTTTTGAAAATAAATATTTGAGTATGATGGGAATTCTGAACACAGCTGTCATCAGAAGTTTGGATCCCCAAATGGAGGCTTTGAAAGTTTTTTTGTTTTGTTTTTTTCCAGTAGACAAATTACCTTTTTGAACATTCAGTCTTAGATTACCTTAATGAACCAATTCTATTAGCATCTGCCTTGGCTGCCTCAGCAAGCTGAAAGGTGGGGAAAGGAGGAGATGCAGCTCTTTGTTTTTCATCAAGGTCTGGCTTCAAGTCACTCCAGATGCCTCTAAAGGGACTAGAAAGGTGTCACATCTGAAGAGCCTTAAGAGGCCATTGGGTCACATCATCCCAGGCTTTTCCTGGCTAAAAGCGCCTTGGAGCTTATCTTATTTCCCTTCTTGTGGATTTTTGAACCCCTCAAATCACTTTGCTTGTTCCCCCTGAACTATGTTCCTGCCCCCTTGTTCCCAAGAACTTCGGTTGCCTATTCATTTTCCACAATCATGTGCTCTGTTTATTTTCAGTGGATATGCTGCTGATGAAATCACTCACTGCATACGGCCTCAGGACATCAAGGAGCGCCGAGCAGTCATCATCCTCAGGAAGTAAGTGCCCCCGACATCTGGCACCTTTGCCTTAAATTCAGGCGTGTCTGCAAATGTAGACCTGGGTTCATGGGTCCTCTGTATCGATGGAATGGCAAGGCAAAACCTGGGAGAGAAGAAAGCAGTAAGCTCTTTTTTTGTTTGAGTTCTGTGAGAATAGAACTATTTTATCTTTGGCAGAAAATTAACTTATGTGGCTATGTAAGGAGATTGATGTTAAGTGCTGTTGGGTTGGTAGCGACCCATAGCAACCCTGTATAGGATTTCCAAGGAGCGCTGATGAGCTTGAACTGCCCATCTTGTAGTTCAAACCGAGTTTGCAGTCCAGCACGTTAACCCACAATGCCACACGAGAACTCCATGTAAGGAGATAAGGGCTGAGCAAAAGCACATGTTCCTGGTATTTATGGGCTTTTGTTTTTATTGTTGTTAAGTGCTATTGAGTTGGTTCCAACTAATAGTGATCCTGTATAGGGTTTTCAAGGAGCGACAGGTGAGCTTGAACTGTGCGATCCAGTGCTCATCCTAGCGCCACACCAGGATCCTGTTTCTGGATATCGGAGATAGGATTTGGGGAATGTTCTTTCAGAAATGACTCCCCACTCCCACCCCCAGCCTCTTTTACCCACCTCTTTGGCTCTGATTTGTCACATGTGATTTCACAGATTATTTTTAAACTATGCCTTAGCAGCTGGCTATAAAAATGCCTGGGTTTTACTTTCACATTTGGGAGAAGCAGAGAGAGAGAGGAGGAGACAAATGTGGATGTTGGGATGCAGTGTACAGCAGATTCACAGCTTGTGGCTGAGGGAGTGGAGGAGGTATGGACTAGACTAGCATGGACAAATTTCTAGACATTGAGAACACTTCTTCCCTTCGCCTCATAATTGAGTGAACTGGAATTTGCAGAGATCAAATGGAATTGCTTGGGGTCAGAACAAGCTTTCCTTTTGTGTGGAGTTCCAAAGAGGACAGGTGATTGGCTGGGTTCATATAGAAGACTTGTGAGCAAAGCAAGTTGTTGTTGTTAAGTGCCGTCTAGTCGGTTCCAACTCATAGCGACCCTGTTAAGGTTTTTAAGGAGCTACTGGTGGGTTTGAACCACTGACCTTGGTGGTTAGCAGTCAGTGGTTATCCAGTGGTGCAACACCAGGACCCAGGCTTAACCTGGATGTACTATAGCTTGCCTTATTTTTCTTTTAAGTAAACTTTATTTTTTACAACAGTTTTAGATTTACAGAAAAATTGTCAAGATAGTACAGAGAATTCCCAAATAATCACACACCCAGTTTTCCTTGCTATTAACATCTATTAGTATGGTACGTTTGCCACAATTAATGAACCAGTGTTGGTTGGTCTGTTGTTATTAACCATAGTCCATATTTTTTTCTCACTCTCTTAATTTTTACCTGGTTTCTGTTCTGGAACTTCATCCAGGATCCAACATGACATTTAGTCATCATGTCTCCTGGACTTCTCTTGTCTGTGACAGTTTCTCACTGTTGCCAGTTTTGAGGTATACTAACTCATGTATTTTGCAGAATGTCCCTCAGTTGGGAATTGTTTTCTTTTTTTTTTATTATTGTTAAGTCTTATCAAATTGGTTCTAACTCATAGCAACCCTATAGGGTTTCCAAGGAGCAGCTGGTGGATTTGTAGTTTAAATTGACCTTGTGGTCCAGTGCTTTATTCAACAGCACTACACCAAGACTCTATTAAGTCCTAAAAATGAAAAAGATGAAACAAAGAGGACATAATGGTGTCCCCTCAATTAGTATTTGTCTTATTTTTCTCATCATATCATATCATTATCAACACAGCTTCTCATTATTGATGTTACCTTTGATCATCTGACAGAGGTCATGTTTTCCAAATTTCTCCATTACTATTTTACCCCCTTTCCATATTGTGATCTTTGGAAGCAAGCCATTGTACAGTTAACATTTAAAGAATGGGTAAGTTAAGCTCCACATCCTCAGGGGTAGAGTGTCAACATTAATTCTTTGGAATTCTTCTGTATGAGAGATTTATCCCTTCTGCCTCACTTATTTATGTATTCAGTCATTTTGGTCAGTGTGGACTCAAATGGGTACTGTCTACAAGTTTGAGTGTTCTTATGTATCTCCCACCACTTCATATCAGCTGGACACTTCACTCTCAGCTCTAGGTCAGTGTCCCCTATACTTTTATTTGTTGAAATATTCCAGCTTTGGTCTTTGGGAGCTTGTTTAGTTGGTGCCTGTGTTCCTTTGACATTTGGTCATTGTGATAGGGGGCTTTTTTGTTTTGTTTTGTTTTGCTTTCTGTGCTTAGTTTACTTTGACTTGCTATCATTTAACTCTGATTAATCATTTTGGCATTCTGGCCATTAAGATTTAGAATAATGTGTTAGGGTTTTGTTTTGTTTTTAAAGCTTTTACTGTGAATTGAGTGAAACTTTGTTTTATTGCAATGATTATAGTCCCTCCATGCGTCGTTTGCTCCTGTTTCGTTTGTCTTGATGTAAACGAAAACACACAGGTATGTATAATCATTTAAACAAGCAAAGGGAACATTCTGAAAGCCAGCCTCCTGGCTGCAAGCACACAGCCTTTCTCTTTGCATGAGTCTAGAGTCCTCAGCTGCTCTCTGCCTCCATCTCTGGTGGCATTGCTTCTCTGGTTAGGGTCCCACATTCTGCTCATGCTCTTCTCTCTTAATGGTCCTAGGGTCCACTGTTTCTGGAATGTAATATTAACTACTCCTCCCTTTTTATTATACAACTTCTACCTTACAGTTGTGACAATCACAATTAGTCATGATAATAATTACTACTGAATCAAGTGAATCTTGTCCCCATCTCGTTTCACCAGACCTATATGGACAAGATGAAAACTATTCGTGAGGATTTCACCTTCTCCCACACACACTGAAACTAATCTCCCTCTTGAAAACTTGTAAACCAGTCACTTCCTGCCTTTAAACACCCCCCCCACACACACACACACCACCACCATTTTAGGTAGCCAGTGTCTTAAGTTGTCCATCCCTATCAACCTTGTGTATAGGGGGATTAGGTTTATCCTTCCCTCTTAGTTGGTATTTTGAGCTACTACATCCATAATTGAAACATTTACTGATGAAGATCAAAGAACACAGCCTTCGGTATGGATTGCATCTCAATGTCAAGAAAACAAAAAAAAATCCTCAGCCACTGGACCAGTAAACAACATTCTTTTTATTTTTTTCATGTTTTATTGTGAATTATATGATATTTTACATGAGAGAACTTTAGTTTTACATTCATTCCACCGTATATCGTTTCATTGCCATGGTTCCAATCCCCTCCGAGCATCATCAACCGACCAAAGGGTAAACCCTATAAACCCCACCCCCCATTCTTCAGCACACAGTCCCTCTCCCTCTCTGGATCCAAAGTCCCCAGCCGCTTCATCACTCCACGTCATCGTCTCTGCCTCTATCTCAGGCCTTGCTGATTCTCTGGGTAGGGTCCCACTCTCGGCTCTTCTCCGTTGATGGGCCTAGAGACCTCTGCTCCTAGACTGGAGAGTTAATTACTCCCTTGCTACAAAACGTCTGCCAATACATTTCCAACCCTCACAATTAAACAACATTCTTATCAATGGAGAGAAGATTGAAGTGTCAAGGACTTCATTCTTCTTGGATCAACTGTCAACACTCGCGGAAGTAGCAGTCAGGAGATCAGACGACGTATTGCATTGGGCAAATTGCTGCACAGGAACTTTTTAAAGTGTTGAAGAGCAAGGATGTCAGCTTGAGGACTAAGGTGCGCCTGACTCAAGCCATGGTATTTTTAATAACCTCATATGGATGCGAAAGCTGGACAGTGAATAAGGAAGATCGTAGAAGAATTGATGCCTTTGAATTGTGGTGTTGGAGGAGAATACTGAAAGTGCCATGGACTGCTAAAAGAACCAATAGATCTGTTTTGGAAGAGGTGCAGCCAGAGTGCTCCTTGGAGGCCAAGATGGCTATAAACTTCGCCTCTCATACTTTTGGACATATTGTCTGGAGGGAACAGTCGCTAGAGAAGGATGTCATGCTGGGTAAGATGGAGGGTCAGAGAAAGAGAGGAAGACCCCCGATGAGATAGATCAGCCAGGTGGCATCATTGATGGTGTCAAGTGTGGAAGCGGTAGTGAGGTTGGCCCAGGATTGGACATTGTTTCATTCTGCTGTGCATGGGGTCAGTATGAGTCGGTTCTGACTCGATGGCACCTGATAACAACAACAACATCCGTAAGTATAGGTCAGGTTCATCAAATTTTAGCAGTTTACATTTGCTTTCTTTATCACATTTCTTTATCTTCATCTATCTGAGTTCTTATCATCAAGCCGTGGAAGCTAGGTCAAATGGATACTGTCTGCAAGTTTGGGCATTATGTGCATCTCTGCCCACTTCATATCAGCTAGATGCTTCACTCTCAGCTCTAGCCCTCTGTGGCTAGGTCAGTCACTATGGGCTCAGGACTTCCCAAGTCTCCCCAAACTTCAGACCAATCAACCCTTCCTCTTCTCTCTCCAGGTCGACAGGAGACCACGGAACATGGTTGAACTCAGTCCATACCTTCATTGCGGCCTTTCCTGCACTTGGCTCTCACATGTAGATAACATGGTCGCCAGGAAGCTTACATGCTTGCTCATGTGTTCCTTTTGAGTTTGTCTTGGAGGAGGATTTGTTCTGAAGGAACTTAATTGCTTGCCATGATGGCTTCCCAGCAAACAACTTGTTTGTTGTAATAGCCAAACCGACTGGCGTTTTCAGTTGTTTGCTGCTGGTCTTTCAAGAAGTATCTTCTGTTCCTCTAGCCACTCTGGGGTGGTCTACATGTCCTTTCAAGTGGGAATGTCCCACCTTATAAGGTTCTGGATGGTACTTAGAATTCCACCTAATGTTCTGTATACTACAAAGGCTCTGCAGGAAGCCTATTTCACTGGGCAAGTTCTAGAACCCCTTTTAGGTATTCCCGTCTGTTAAT